CACCTGGAATACTGCATCGAGTTGGGTCACCACATTACAAAAAAGATGTTGAGGCTTTGGGGAAAAAGTGCAAAGAAGAGCAACTAAGATGATTAAAGGCCTGGAGACTAAAATATATGAAGAATGGTTGCAGGAATTGGGTTTGGCTAGTCTAGAGAAAAGAAGGACTAGGGGGACATGATAGCAGTATTCCAGTATTTGAGGGGCTGCCACAAAGAGGAGGGGGTCAACTTATTTACCAAAGCACCAGAGGGCAGGACAAGAAACAATGGTGGGAAACTGATCAAGGAGAGAAGCAATCTGGAACTAAGAAGAAACTCCCTAACAGGGAGGACAATTAACCAGTGGAACAGCTTGCCACCAGAAGTTGTGGGTGCTTCATCACTCGAGGTTTTTAAGAGGAGACTGGACAGAAATGAGATAGGGCTTCCAGGTCTATTCTGATTGATTGATCTTGATGGACCTTCCTTAAACCACCTCTCTAGGCTAGACACCGATTGTGACGCTGAGATATGGCTCTTTAGCTTACAAGAGCATGTCTGTCTGCCACAAAAGAGCTAGTGGGAAAGAGTCCTCGACTTACGACCAATTTCTCTTTCCCTCGTGAAGTTCAGTTGCCGAGGCCAATTAAATACCTTTCCCCCCCATTGTCTTAAGAGTACGGTTGGCTGTAAAATTCTGGAGTCAACCCATCTTCAAGATCCCAAGGTTGAAAAACACTGCCTTGGAACTAGGTTAAAAACCAAAATCTTGCAAGGAATGTTGTGCCACTCTTATCTGAAGGATTCTCACCCTACTCTTAACCATAAAAAATTGAGGAAACCATGTATAATGCGGGTATTGTTGTAGTCCTTGCCTATCAACTTGCTACTGATATAACTGTAATTTTCATTTTTCTGAGAAATATGTAATACAAGTAGTACTTGACTTAAACATTCATTTAGGAGCCATTCGAAGATACAACCGCACTGGAAAAAAGTGTCTTATGACTATTTTTCACCTGATCAAAATTCGGCGCTTGGCAACTGGCTCGTATTTATGACGGTTGCAGCGTCCCAGGGTCACGCAATCACATTTTGCAACCTTTTGACAAGTAAAGTCAACGGGGGAGCCAGATTCATTTAACAACCGTGTTACTAATTTAACAACTGTGGGGACTCACTTGACAACTGTGGCAAGAAAGGTCGTAAAACAGGGCGGGATTTACTTAACAAATGTCTCATTGAGCAGCAGAAATTTTGACCTCAATTACGGTGGAGGTAGTGATGGTTAAAGACTATGTGTATTATGACCTCCAGGGCTCTGTATTTTTATTATAGATAGTCCTCGCTTACTGACTGCCTCATTTAACAACTGTTCAGTTTTGACAGTGTAAAAAAACTCCCGCTATGTGACTAATCTTCACATTTGCAATCGTCTCAGTGTCTCAGGGTCACACGATTGCCATTCAGGCATTTTTCCCGCAGTGCACGTTTACAGCCATTGTAGCATTTGTGTTCTTCACAACTGACTTGTAACAAGCAGTTAATCGAGAAGGCAGATATTAAATTTAGTAGCTGGAACGGTAAAAGTGTACAATGGGCCAGAACACACAGCTGTAGTTGATTGGCTGGGGAGTGCTGGATCCTGCGTGAGGCAATCTGCGCTATGATTGGTTGCTTTGGGTGTAAAGGGGGAGTTTCCCTTTTTTCCCGCCTTTTTCTTCTGTGTGCTCAGTATACAGGCAGTCCTTGACTTACAACAGTTCACTCAGTGACCGTTCGAAGTTAAAACAGCACTGAAAAAAAGCGACATGCCCATTTTTCACACTTATGACCATTGGAGCATCCCTGTGGTCACATGGTTTATATTCGGACGCTTGACAACCGACTGACATTTATGACGGTTGCAGTGTCCCGGGGTCATGTGATCCACTTTTGCGACCTTCTGACCGGCAAAGTCAATGGGGAAGCCAAATTCACTTAACAATGTGTTACTAATTTAACAACTGCAGTGATTCACTTAACAAAAGCGGCAAGAAAAGTCGTAAAATGGAGCAAAAACTCACTTAACAAGTTTCTCACTTAGGAACATACATTTTGGGCTCAATTGCGGTCGTAAGTCGAGGACTACCTGTACCGACTGACGATTTACCTGTTGATGTTTCTGGTGTTTCCGACTACAGTATCTTGTTTGCTGTAAATATAAATGCAAAATATATTTCTTTATATAAAACTACAAGTTTGTGTCAGTGTCCCTGACTTGGAATCAAGCTATTTTCCAAGGCGCCTGAAGGCAGGACAAGAAGCAACGGATGGAAACTAACCAAAGAGAGAAGCAACCTAGAACTAAGGAGAAACTTCCTGACAATTAGAACAATTAACCAGTGGAACAACCTGCCTCCAGAAGCGGTGAATGCTCCAACACTGGAAGTTTTTAAGAAGAGACTGGACAGCCATTTGTCCGAAATGGTATAGGGTTCCCTGCCTGAGCAGGGGGTTGGACTAGATGACCTCCAATGTCCCTTCCAACTTTTTTATTATTATTGTTATTGTTATTGTTATTGTTATTATTATTATTATTATTATTATTATTATTATTATTATTATTATTATTATTATTATTATTATTATTATCATCATCATCATCATCATCATCATCATCATCATCATTATTATTCCCTGACACCATCACATGACATTTGACGGAGTAATCAAAATCATGTGATTTTGCACTAGGCAACCGCAAGGCTTAGTGACTGTTCCCAATTGTGGTCACTAATAGAGGACTAACTATATAGTTAATACTGAGTTTCAAAAGTCACATTTTGGAACATTTCTCAGCAGGGGACATCCATTAATTCTCCTCTGTTATGTAGCAAGATTGGATCCGCTGCTATTTGTTCCATAGAGTCTTATTTTCTGAACACGGTCAATCGTGGTGAGTACTTGGATGGGAGACCAAAAGGAAATCCTAGAGTGATAAGCCAGGCTGGGAACTCAAACCTCACTCCCCCATCCAGGCAATGCAAAGCAAAGCACTTCTATCTTATTGTCAAGAAAACAAGGGGAATGGCGTAACACAAAGCACTAGGGTCTCTCATTTTTATCCAAGAAGAGCTGTGCTTTTTCAACCTTGGCAACTTTGAGATATGAGGATTCTGGGAGTTGAAGTCCGCATATCTCAAAGTTAAGAAACTGGATCAAAAAACCTTTTCACTGCTTGGCTTTCAAAAGCATCACTTAGCTCAGGGGTAGGCAACCTTGGCTCTTTTGTGACTGGTGGACTTCAACTCCCAGAATTCCTGAGCCAGCCATGCTGAGGGGAAAGGGAGAGGTTTCCAAGCTGAGCCATGCTGGCTCAGGAATTCTGGGAGTTGAAGTCCACGAGTCATAAAAGAGCCAAGGTTGCCTAGCCCTGACTTAGCTGACAGGGCTTTAGCAATCGTCCGATTGAAATTGTTCATTTTCCAACTTTACAGTTTGTTTTACTGCTCCCTTTTTGAATTCTGCATTCGCCCCTTTTCTTCAATCTTGGGTGCGCCTGCCTTTTGAAATGAGCGTCTCCTTGCCCCCATCCAACTCCTTTCATTTTTGCACTTGACCTCTTCTCACTTTTTGCAGTGGCTTTCCTTGTGCACGCTCAACACCTTTAACCCCATCACTCCTATCAAGGACAGGCAGAAAGGCTCTGTTGTAATTTACAGAATTCAAATGGCTTTTATTATTCTCCTTTCCTTCAGCCTTCCCTCATCTGGGGTCCTTCGGGGGGGACCCGGATCCTAACATCAACCCCCGGGAAAGGCTGGCTGAGGATGATGGGATTTACAGTCAGGTTTGGGGCTGCTTTTAAAAGCAGGATGCCAAGAACAGAGCTGCTCCTATAGCATTCTGCAAGGCAAGTTCTGTGCCGATCTGAAAAATTATAACCTGAAGCTTGTTTTCTGTCTGGACCGCCTGTAGGAACTTGTCCTAACCCTGACAGGCATTGGAGGAGAGTGAGACCCTCTGGTAAAATACAGTAGTAGTGGCCAAAATTGTGGAAACCTTTTGGGAAAAGTGTATTTTTGAGGTTTGATGGCTAATAACGACACTTTTTTGGGGGGAGTAGTGCCATAAAATTATATATCGATGGAAAGATAATTTAATCAAGAATGTAATGCAACATAGTTTGTTCAATTATCTATACTGTATTCTATGAAAAGTTATAGCCAAATAACCAGAAAAAGGAAGCATAACTTGCTTAGGTTGATATCGGGTAGTTTTCCTTCACCTGATTGTAGCCAATGAGCACGAGTGTTTAGAGAGCCAATCAGGTGTCATCTTGTTTTGGCAACGAGCCAATCAGATCACAGTAGGATCCAGTTATTGATGTCCTATATTGAAGCTGAGAGGAGGACATTTGTCAGTGTGTTATGTGATGGCTATCAAGTTGGTTGGGGGTTTTTTTGTGTTCTTTCATTTAGTGAGCTTGTAAAATGTAATAAAATTAAAGTAACGGTGCAAAGAGTTGACTGGTCGCCCAGAAAGCGATGTAAAATAGTATTATTAAGTGAACAAGGCTACAGTTATAATGTAGTAAAATGAACAATTATTAGAATAATGATTTGTCTGCATAACTGCAATAATGATGTGTCTGCATAATTGCTAGAATAATGATGTAATGCATAATCACTGGGAAAATTCACTGGGAAAGTTCTGTGTCAGTAATATGTGGCTAACCAAATGCGCATTGCACATGGATACTTTGTATGTAGCAAAACCTTCCANAGTATAAAAACTGAAGTCTAATCCCGCCCTCCTCGTTCAGAATTGCCTATCTCTAATATGCCTCTGAACCTGCGCAATAAACCTCTCTGCTAAACCCCTCTGGAATTCGTAAGAGTTCTTTCGTTTTCCACAAGAATTATAAAGAGATTAGAAGAAAAAATGGTGGAAACTTAACCAAAGGTGGCATTTCTACTGTACACTTTTCCCAAAAGGTTTCCACAATTTTGGCCACTACTGTAGGCTGCAAAAGTATGAAGCCGAAAGTCTGTCACTGGCCTTCAAACAGACTCTGATGTTTGAGCATGGCCGCCTTCGGATCAAAACTCTTCCCGTGTTCGGTGTGGGCGTAAGACCGCTGGCCTCTGTGGATGCGCTGATGCCTGATCAGTTTATCCCTCCGAGAGAAATTTCTCCCACATTCGGGACACTTGAAGGGTTTTTCTCCCGTGTGGGTTTTCTGATGGCACATTAAGTGGACTCTCTGCCGAAAACATTTCCCGCACTGGGAACATTCGTAGGGTTTCTCTCCCGTGTGGATCCGCTGATGTCTCAGCAGAGGTTCTCGCGAGGTGAAGCCCTTCCCACAGGCCAGGCATTCGTGCAGCTTCTCGCCCGTGTGGATCTTCTGGTGTTTTGTCAAGGTTTGTCTGTGTCGAAAGAATTTTCCACACTGGGCGCACTGATACCGCCTCCCTTCCGTCTGCATGCCTTGATCTCTCTTTACCGCCTTCCGGTTATGACCATCTGTCCCATCCTCTAAGTGCTCAAGAAGTTCCTCGTCCGGTTGATTTTTCGGGTACCCCATCAAATCATCTCCCAGGATCTCTTTCCTCGCCTCTAAGGCTTCAGCTTCTTGCTCGGCCGAACGGATCTTCTGATGTTTATCCGAGTAACGTGTTTGCTGGACCTTCTCCTCCAAAGAGGGACACGTGCAGGATTTCCCGTGCATCTCAACAAATCCTGATTTATAGCCGCATTTTTGTCCATGCTTGGACAGCAAGACCTTTCCCCCTTCACTGTGCACGGTGTGGTTCTTCTCCACAGCCATTGTAAGATCATCTGAGAGGTCACCCCATTCATTCTTCCCCTTTGTTGACGTCTTATCCAGCTGGAATTCCCACCTCAGCCCATGAATATTAGAGGAGGCAGGAAAGGTCCACTGGGAATTGTCTGCTAAAGTCCTCGGTGTTTCCTCCAGCACGATCTTCCCCCGCTGAGAATTTTCCATCTTGATCCAACTTCTCCGGTCACCTGAAGAAAGAAGAAAGAGGAATAATAATAATAATAATAATAATAATAATAATAATAATAATAATAATAATAATGGTAAAGTTGGAAGGGACCTTGGAGGTCATCTAGTCCAACCCCATGCTCAGGCAGGAAACTCTATACCATTTTGGACAAGTGGCTGTCCAGTCTCTTCTTAAAAACCTCCAGTGTTGGAGCATTCACCGCTTCTGGAGGCAGGTTGTTCCACTGGTTAATTGTTCTAACGGTCAGGAAGTTTCTCCTTAGTTCTAGGTTGCTTCTCTCCTTGATCAGTTTCCATCCGTTGCTTCTTGTCCTGCCTTCAGGGGCTTTGGAGAATAGCCTGACTCCTTCTTCTTTGGGGCAGCCCCTGAGATATTGGAACACTGCTATCATGTCCCTCCTCGTCCTTCTCTTCATTAAATATCTAAAGAGATCCTCAATCATCCAGGTCAGTGGTGGCAAACCTATGCCACGGGTGCCAGAGGCGGCACTCGGAGCCCTCTCTGTGGGCACACCTGCCGTTGCCCCAGCCTCGCCTCCCCCCGCGACCCCCTCACCAGCAGCCCCTCTGGAGGAGAGTCGCCCCTGAGCATGGCCCACGCGGAGCAGCGCAGCCAAGGACATGGCAGCCAGGCAGCGTAGACAAGACTCTGCCCTCACACCCCATCATGCACAGTTGATGCTGCAGGGCGCGGGCAGAGGGCGTGGCCACCATAGCGCTGCTGGGCTGCCTGGGCAATCTGCGGCGGGCCCTGGAGGCAGTGAGTGGCCCTGTGGGCAGGCGGGGCAGGGAATGGGGGGGGTGGAGCGAGGGTGGGGCGGGGGGGGTGGGGCAAGGGGGTGGGGCAGGGGGTGGCAGGGTATCTTTTGGAGGGTCCATCATAAGTTGAGGACTATCTGTACAAACAGCTCCAAGTTTTCTGAAGGCTTGCTGGATTTATCCTGAGTTTCTAGAGGTTCTCCTCCCTACCGGCTGTTTGACTCACATCCTTCCTTCTGCACGTCATCCTCCATTGACCCATTCTCTGTGTTTATCTGGGCCACTGTCCTGGATGTCTCCTCTGGACCGCTTCCTCCACACAAAGAGGTTTCCATTTTGATCCAGTTTCTGTTCTTGACCCCTGAAGGAACAAGAAGGGGGATATTTTGAAGTCTTTGGTTTTGATCACTTTTGGCAGTTCCATCAGCTTTTTTGCACTTGTGTCTTCCCTGATTGGAAGAACGCAGCCCCTTGAGCTGACGTTCGGTGCGCGCACAAGCACCTACCCAGACAATCCATGTTGCCGTTCTCCTCCTGCAGGACTTGCCAGAATATAGTCCGTTGTCCCGGCTGGATCAAGCCCTGCCCCATGGTCTGCAGAGGAACGCCTGTCTTTTGGAGGCTCACTGACCCCTACAAACAAGGATATAGCCATCACTTAACTTAACAGCTCTAACAGATGCTGTGCTGCAGATAGCTGCCGCTTCCTTTGCTCTCTGTGTACGGGTGTGCTTCTCTCTCTCTCACACACACACAAACACACGTTCAATATCCACTGCAACTCTGAATAAATTCAAGACCACTGGCTGTTTCTTTCAGAGCTGAGATCATCCAACACAGATATTTTGAACTCGGAACCCTGCAAACAACATTCCACCACCAAATTACTGCATGTTTACAAAGACAGACACC